ATTAATAGCCTTTCCACCATCATGGATTTTTTCTTAATGATGCATGCCTAGCATTGTCCTATTTAAGCCTCTCATTCACATTCACATGCTACCACTCACTATTATTGTTTTCAGTTCAAATAATATACACATATACATGCACATAGCTGAGGTGAAAATTGTAAGAGGGATCAAGTAATTTTATTCCTTCTCTATTACTCTTTCTTTTAAATTTCACTGTAAGTACGCCACCTATGATTGGATTATTATTATGTTTCAAGAAAATATTATGGGTTACATATGGTACAATATGATTATGATTATATTAAGGGCACCAGAGTTTAGTAACGTCATAAAATTCTTGTGTCTCCATTATGTGGATTAGGATTATTATGCTTCTTTAAGTTATACACGATAATAATTCATTGAGTACTTATGGAGATTTTATAAACCTCACTCTATGATATATCCCCCTTCAGGCAATTGATGGTTTGAGGTAGTCAACGTGGAGATGGCAACGGATTAGGATTAACAAATTATATTGTGTTTGAAACACAACTTTTAAGTTTCATTTTTTTAAGACATTATTTAGGCTATGTTTTACGTCAATACATTATTTTTTAATATTAAGATTTCGCAATTAATTGTTGAAGTTAAAACCCTTTTTTTTTTTTTACTTAATGAGTAAAACCGTTTCTTGTTACTATTTAAATCCTTATGAAAAAAAATCGATTTTTATTTAGTGACACTCGAGTAGTCAATAATTTGGGTTGTTACAATGCCCCTCAAGTATTGTTCTCTCCCCAAATATATGTATATGTTTATGTATATACTTCTTTATGTTTTGTAACTGTATTGTGAATTGATCTTCTAGGGAATTTATGGTGGTACAGGCGTTTTTATTGTCGTTAAAGGCTCATAAAGAGGGTTAGAATTTTGATAATTATTGTGATCGGTGTTTTGAATAGGGTAAAAATACATCTAAAATTTACTGGAACCATAGTGTAGTGCATCTATATATAGTTATTGTGCATGAAACTTATTCTATTTGAAAAATCTTTTATTTTTTATGTTTTCTTCCTGTCACTGTGTTACAGTAACTATGATCTGTTCAGTGTTCTCTATGTTTTAGCTTGTATTTGACGCCCATTTTGGAGAAAGAATAAATTCTGGAATAGTGATTGACGGAAGAATGTGTGGTTAAAAAGTAAGGAAAGTTTTTGGATTTGTGTGTAATATTATTTTATTAATAGAATGTGTGGTTTAAATGAAGAAAGAAAGAAAAAATGAGAAATAGAATATGTGTCAAACAAGGGGTTAATACCCATATTTCTCGCAATTGTTTATAGAAAATCTTATTGGAGAAGTCATTGAAATATATGTTGCTAATATTAAACAATTTAAATATATGGCTTTTTGATGAAATTTGTGGTAAAAAATGAAGTTTGATAGGTTGAAAATATGGCTTGTTTAGCAATGTTTGACTTTACATTATTCCATTGTTGAAAAATCTTAACATGGGTTTCACCATTGAAAAATTACTTGCTGCTAAGGCGTCATATAAAAGGCTATTTCTTTTTATTCTGAAAGTTCTATGATTTATAGGCATTTATACTTGGCAGTTCATACTTGGTGCCTATGCATCAGTGGGGCTGCCAAAAGTGTAGGAAATGCTTGTAGTAAGAACTAAATGCTATTAACAAGTCCCACTCTCCCCCACTTATAACATCACAAAAAGCAGGAAAAAAATAACTAAATCTATGTTACTCTTATTCCATTAAGAAATAATTTTTGGTGGATATTGGATGGAAACAGACTAGAAATGAGTTGAAGATGAGCGACATTTATGTTAAGTAGGATGAGTTTTTTATTTTTTTCCTTGTTATGAAAGTGTCATAAAAGATCTTTTGCTTGGTTATGCAAGATGTAATGCATGGGTTTTTATTGAATAATCCTTAACCCCACATGATTGATAGTTTTACACTTTTTGGTGGATATATGGCTGGCAATACTGCTTAAAGTTTTGATGCAATTTCCCACTTATTGTTTGTAATTCTCCTTCTAAATTCCCACCTTAACTTTTGAACAGTTGGCTTCGCTTTTATGTTGATCAAACATTTAGAGATTTATTATTTGGCCAAAACATTTCATGTTACGATTCTAAGATTTATATTCTATTACCGTGTTTAATTCATTGTTCAGTTGCATGTTCGAAAGTGCAATGAACCTGAAAGCTTTGAACCTCCTGCTGATGGACCTTAGACAACTGGGATTTTTTTGGATGTGCCGAATATCCAGAGAGTTGTTAGCTTCATGTTAACGTGTGGATAATCAATCAGTTAAATTGGCAGTTAATAAACTATTATGGAACTTGTCATGCTACTCTCTTTTTTGAATGTTATGAAATTAGTTATAAAAAAAATATGTGGTAAATATTTAAAGAAAAAATTATTCTAATGATACATTAATGGAGGGTCATGGTCATCATGATAATTCTCTTGACTATGTTGCTCCCATCGAAATTAGTTATAAAAAAATACGAGGTAAATATTTAAAGAAAAAATTATTCTAATTATACATTAATGGAGAATTAGGCCATCATGATAATTCTCTTGACTATGTTGCTGTCATCCTATAATGTTTATACTTTGATGAACTTATATACAATCACCATAAAACATATTTTGCTTCCTTGCATGCGTATTCATGTAATACACGAGAAGCTCATGTTCCTCTTTATCTTTTAATAGGGTTACTTTTGTGACTATTGTGTCATATCATTTGTCCCCTTTCCCCCTCTCAAACACAGCACGTAAGTGCACGCATTAGTGCCATATGCGCTTATCTGCATATATATATTTTGGTGACCAGTTACAACATGACCTCTTGAGAAAATACTCACGAGCTGAGTTGGTGTGGTAGGGGTCGGATTGGTCACATCTTAAAAATTTGTTGAAACTCCTTGTATTTGTGGCAAGATCACAATTTTCAAGAACTAGAAAAGAGGAAAGGGGAGAGGGTCCTGAAATGAGATGGCTATTATCTTCTCCTTGGAATGCCGCTATAGAGTTTGCTCTTCAATATTGCTTCTTCAGTAAAGGACCCTCAAGTATTAATGTTTGAAGAGGGGTACAATGTCTTCAACAAAACAAATGATGCGATAGTAACTTTGTAGGCTGTTTTGGTGGGAAAACATGACGATGCCAGCTCTCTATTGGCACTGATAAAACTGTTTACAGACTCCGATCTTCACGTGTTGTTGAACATACTGAAGGCGATCTACCTTCCTTATGAAACTTTTAAACAAAGGTATGCGGATGTGAAGTACATTTTCATGGGTTTTTGGTATAGGCTTCCATATGATTTTAAAAATGATTTTAATTACCTCCTACAGTAGAGTATGCTATACTGTAGTGGGCTTCTTTAAGAGTTTTAATTGCTTAATGATGAATGACAGAGAGAAAAAGGATTCATATAGACGACTCCAATTTAACTGGTAACAAGGCTCAGTTTGGTATTATAGTATTTTTAATGCTTCCATAAGAAGACATTCCACACAGATTTAGAGCTTGTTTTGTAGAGATTTTTGGGGGAAGAATTGATTTTTGAATAGTGATATGATGAGAAATGTGTGGTTGAAAAAGAAGAAAAAATTGTTGATGTGATGGAAAATATTATTTTATTGAAGAATATGTGGTTGAAAATGAGAATTGATTTGATAATCAATTCTCAAATAAAAAACAAATACCCCCTTAATGTAGATTTCGCAATTGTTCTATCCTAAACCTTATTATTTTCTAATATTATCTCCATCCAAAAGATTAATGTAATCTACGTAGATATATTAATTTGGAATCAATTTTGAGTAAGCGTCCATGCGGTTACATGGGCATTGGAGAGTATTGAATTATCATTCCGATAAATTTGATTATCATTCTTATGATCCTCTATCCTATAACATAAATTGTAGGTTTAAATAGTCTTAGGCTATCAGTATTGAATTATCATTCCGATAAATTTGATTATCATTCTTATGATCCTCTATCCTATAACATAAATTGTAGGTTTAAATAGTCTTAGGCTATGTTTGATAGCCATTGTTTTCCATGGAAAATGGAAATGAAAATGGTTGTTTGATGGAAAAATTTGCCATGGAAAACAATTTTCACTCACCCGCCCTCCCTCCACACACCAGGTCTGCTGAATTTTTATTTATTTTTATTTTTTTGCAATTGGAAAAATTTCTAAACACAATGGTAAAAGAAATTATTACTTTTATTGACAATTTCTATGCAAAATAAAGCCAAACGAATGATATTGGGTATGGTAATTTTTTTTTTTCGATTGGAACAAATTGTAGACCCAATGTTACAAAAAAATTATCACTTTAATGGATAATTTCCATGAAAAACAAAGTCAAACGGATATCAAACTTTCAACATTTTCAGGTGGAAAATTATACCAATCGAACACAATTAACTACATTTCTTAATAAAATAAATTTTAGGCAATTCAATTCCCTGTAATTCATTTTCTTTCCACACAAATTCCACATTCGCAATTAAACGGACCCTTAGTGTTTGATTATGCTAGTTTTTTGGCTAAACAATGAGTTGGTGTATTATGGACTCCGCTTTGCAGGAGATATTGTGGACATATGATACATTCGACTTACAGATCATTTCTGAATCAATGTAACTTGATTTATCAACTTGTTTATTTTTAACTTATGTCCTAGGAATGGGCAAATGGATCGTGTAGTGCTATCTGATAAGATTGCAGGACTTGATCTTAGAGGAGTTACTACTCGCATTATTGGTGTCCTGGGAGTCGAACTCAATGAAATGGTTCGGAGGATGGAAGAGTCTGTCCCACTAGTCATTCTACTTCTTGAAGCAGCTGCTGAGAGATGCATTAACTTCGTTGGTGGTTCTGAGGCCGATGAGTTGATTCACGTGCTCGATGACACATTGCAAAAATAAATTTCCACTCTTTGGGGTATCCTAAAATCAATGTTGAGTGGTAACTGGAGTGGATGTGTCATCTGATGGTGTTGATGTAAAGAAGGAAACGGGATCTTCACACGTACGTAAAGTTGAGTCTATGTCAAACGAGGAGGAGTGGTCATTTGTCCAGGGTGCTTTACAAATTCTCGCGGTTGCAGATTGTTTAACAAGTCGATTTTCAGTCTTTGAAGCTTCATTGAGGTCAACTTTAGCTAGATTGAGCACTAGTTTGTCTCTTTTTGTATTACGTACAAGTATTTATAAAAACCTACTGAAAGTGGTTGATGTTGATGGAAGTGGGGAATTGTCTATGGCTGGAAGGGTTGCCTTGGATGTGGTAGTTGTCAGGCTTGTTGATGTTCCTGAAAAGGCTCGGAAACTTTTTAACCTATTGGAGCAGGTATTGAGTCTTTCTTACTTCATCTCTTTTAACAAACAGGATTTTGATTTTAAATAAAGTATTTTGGAGAATAGTGACTTAAAATAATTATACCGTGATAGAACTATGATTTTGACATGAGAATCTAAAATTAATTATTTTAAGACAAACCGTAACCATAATTTGAAATTTGCTTTTACTATTTTCCAATTCTACCTGTAAAGTTGACATTTGTATGGTCATGGATACTCTACACTTTCATATTAGTAATTTGATGCTGCCCAAATTACAAGTTTTTCCTGGTTCTTACAGTCAAAAGAACTAGCTTATGATGTCCTTATGCTAAAAGTGAGAGCATTTTAATGACATGTCTCATCATAGAGTGATGCAAAAAGTTTATCTTTTGCAACGTTTAATAAATGTTGCAAAAAATAAAACTTTTTGCAGCGTTTAATAAAAGTTGCAAAAGACACTTTTTACAATATTTTTTACAAAATGTTGCTAAAGCTTAATTATATTAACCAATAGTAATATTCACTTAATAAAATGTTGCGATAGATCCCTTTAACAACACTTAACTGTCGAATGTTGCCTTTTATGCGTTGCAAATGGTGTTTTTTATTGTAATGCCTTACTTTTAAAATAACTTACTTATTTCCAGCTTTTAACTAATAAAAATACTATTACGTTTAAACAAATTAATTACTATACTGGAAGAACAAATGCATCATTTCTGCAAACAGTTTCCAAGAAAATAAATGTACACTCATTTACGCAGACAATAAAACCCTATCTTATATAATAAGAAGTTGATTATTATAGTATAAACTAAATCAATACAAGTTTTAACCTTTTTTAAAACAAATAATGTTCTGGACTACAAATATGAAAATGTCTCGGAAGTATTTGGGTGGGATCAACAAGAAATTCCGAGAAATGGATTATTATAGAAGCACAATTAAAACAAGAATGTTCTTTAGCAATCAACCAGAATTAGAATCAAAGTATTTCTACCAATTTCCTATTAAATCAAAGAAATAAAAATCACAGTACTTCTATCAATTTCGTATTAAATCTTAATATAAATATGCAGTGCATTAAATTAAAAGTTAAAAACATGTAGAGAGAATGGAAATTGACAGGTACCTTTTGGACAGATATTTACCGAGGAAGGAAGATTTGTCGAGCATAATTGTTGTCGCCACGCCTTCATTAAGGATAGTTTAAAAAATTCACAATTGTAATTTCGATTTTCTCATAATTTTATTTTAAATAGAAAGTTGTTATTAATGTTTACTTAATGTTCATAAAAAAAAGAGAGGGATTAGAGAAAATAGGGTGCAATTTTTATCTTGTTAACTTCTTTTCATCATAACGAATTACAGAAACAATGACATAGTCTCAAATCTCTCTCTCTCTCTCTCTCTCTCTCTCTCTCTCTCTCTCTTCTAGTGCCGTTTTATTGTTTTTGGTGTTAGAATTTTCAATTCTCACATAATATTCCAAAAATAATTTCCCTCCACTTCTAGGACTTCTTAAACTGATACACGCCCTGTTAGAGTATTCTGCATTAATATGAGTAGGGCTTCACAAAAAAACCGCAAAACCGCAAATCGAATCGAATCCGTTGACTTGAAACTGTTGGTTCAGATCCACGTGGACCCGCGATTTTTTTCCTATCAAACCGTTTCAAAATGGTTTTGTTTAAGTTTTAGTTTTCGAAAACCATAAAAAATGGAACCGAACCGAACTTTTTTTAATTAAAAAATAATTTTATTAAATTATAAATTTTGTTAAAGTACAAATGTATCTAAAGTTTTCAGAATTTAATATGCATACAAAATACAAGATTAAATACAAAAATAGGTCCAAGTAGTGTGTTTATTAAAAATATATGTACAACCCATTCTACGTCTACAGCCCATTGATTAAAATCAACCAAGAAAACCAATTAGAATGATAGAATCAGTTTCCCATCCATCATCGTCGATTTATGAACTAGAAGGAAAAAAAAAAATCAGTCCTAAACCAAACCCTAAATCTCATATTATCTTCTGAAATCCAAGAAATATATGGTAAAATTTGCAGCCCAAATCAGTCTACAACGGATTTTTTTTTCACTTGCTGTGTTAAATTGAAAAGTAAGAACCCTCCCTTCTTCTTCAACAGTATCCACCTCTGTACAATTCTCCCAGGAATCTAAATCTTAACTTTACTGTAATTCATACTACGATGGAAACGCAATCTAATTATGTATATTGTTTCTCTTGCAGGATAGTGAAGTGTGCAGAGGTTGGAACAAATTTTCTGATTTTCAAGTAAAGGTAGGAAGTTTTAATCTTTTTCTTAAAATTTGAACTTTTGATTATAACAGGATCCCACTTGTTATGTAGTGTTTCTGTTTTCTTTTGACTTATCTAAAATAAATTATTGAAAATTTAAGCAAAAGTTTAGTTTATTTGAAAATCAGGTGTCCTCTATATGTTTTATATCCACTTTTTGTCCTTTGAAAAGTTATTTTCCCAAAGAAGTAATAAAAGTGTGAAGGAAAACTCATTTTGAAATTATATTCATGAGTCATTTATAACGCGCCTATACTGTCTTTTTCCCTCTCAATCGATGGATCCATCGGGTTGGGACATCGTGTGCACAATTTTAGAAGACAGGGGACATAAGATGGATTAAATAGAATGTTGGTGATATGGGGTGACACGAATGGAAAGGTTGGGGAACCCTAGAGGAATTTACCTATATTTAAAACTCCTAACAGACCCTAAACTTTCAAGACAGTTTCTGCTATTTTCGCGAGCTTTAAATTTATTCTAATTGATCACTAACACTC